TGAAACTTCGAGAAAACATGAAAGTAGCCTTTCAATTGATTAATCCTATTAAAATACTTCTTTGGCTTACGCTCAAGAAGTAAAAATGGATTATTCAAGGCCTAACAACTTCGCACCTTAAAAAAAAAGATTTCTTTTTGATAGAGAACGAATAAAGAAATTTTTTCTGCTACCGATAGCGTAAATGAATCTTATTATTATTATTGCTCCAGTGACACTGACGTAAACGTAAGTGAAGTAACTAGGGCAAGCTCGTTGCTAGCTCCGTAAGTAGGTAATTAAAGGCGTAAGTGTTACTTACGCTGCCAGGACAAAAAACTAATGGAAGTAGTAGAATGTCAAATAAATGTCAATAATTTCATTATACAGCAATAGTTGAAGTTCCTTTTATAATTATTTATTAATATTAACTGTAACACTACACTCAGTAATATTTATTAAAAGATTATTCTTTGAAGTTATTTCAAAATTAGTAACTGTCACATTTTCATCAATTGCATGAGCCTCCTCCTCCTTTCTTTTATAATTGAGGTAACAATAGAAGAACTGACACGACGTTAATTTCAGCATTGAATATTCACACCATAAACTACTAGGAGGCTTGAGGGCTTCGGATCTTTCCTTAAAATAACCAAGCATTACGGTTTCATTAATATCTTGAATGTTTCGTGATGTATACCAATTTGAAAATGCTTTGTAAGTTTCATTATAACGTAATTTCGATTTTTCAGGTAACAGAGATGCGCAAGCAATACTGGCAGCTTCTTCTATTGCCTTTAAATAACTTGAAACACTCATTTTTCACTTTGAACAACTATTTTTTAGGAAACTTCATGTGTAAACAAATTTGTTACCTTGTTGCTACGGAAATGAATACATTCAACGAGTTCCTGATAATTTGTTAAATATTTTTTAGTTACTACAATTATTACTTTTTAGTGTTACTGGTGTCGGTAGCAGAAAAAACGTAATACAATACACGCTGCGTAACTCCTTTCTAAGTCTCGGAGGTTTGCCGGGCCTCGGCGTTACCTCGGCCCGTCAAATCCACCTCGACAAAAAAGTTTACTTACGCAGCTTGTAGTGTAAATAACTATTAAACATTTTTGGTCTGTAATTAAGTAGTTACTTACTGTTAGTTTTTTAACCAAAATTTCAAAAACGTTTTCCTTTTTGTAAATTATCCAACAAACTGTAATATTTTCTGTTAAAATTTTTACTTTATTTAAGAAGATGAACACACTGACCTATAAATAAACAAGCATATAGCACAAAGTTCAAGCAGAATTTGCTGAACTAAATTTTCAATCAGGGTAGTTTTGGAAATCTTTTTGTGGTAAACACACGCAAGAAAATTAACAGACAGACAGAAACGGCAAAATTAATGTTTAATATATAAAGCTATAAAATGTCGAGCAAACATAAAATTAGCCCCTTATCAACTGTACCACTTTCCTCTCTTACTTTCTGGAAGTAAAGGTAAAAATATATATGTTATTAAAATATATATATAATGATAATGAATATGTCTTCTAACAAATGGTTATTTATTAAAGATGTGAAGTGACGTCATTAATTTTGTGGAGGAGACGAATAGATACACTTTGACTTATATTATTCATTGACTAAATTATTATGTCTATCTTAATAAAATTTAAAAAGAGTCGTTTTGTGAATTCGAAAATCAGTATTCTGTATATTTTAGTTTTTACGCATTGTTAAACCACATACAACGGAACATTTCACACTATAAATGTCAAACAAAATTTGATTAACAAAATTTTGATATGACGTAATCAGTTACTGGTAGCAATGAACAGATAAGTTGTTTTGAGCGCATTATCATTTGTAATTTTTTATTTTATCACATTAAGGGCATTTAAAATTCGGAATTTTGACAGTTACATTTGCAATACAAATTTTATATATTTAAATGTTTTCCTTACCTCTCCGGTCAGAACAGCCCCATAATGGCAGTAGAAAAACAACTGGCAACTCAAATACGTGTAAGCGGGCGCGAGTACAAGACAATTCGTAGCTGTTGTGGCGGAATCCTACAAATTTACACAAACCACTAACAACACATTTTAAACGCAAAATTTTACTAACCGAAATAAATCCAACGCAGCAAAAGCATAAACCAAACGTGGTAGCTGCAATCTGAGAAAGTAAAATCCAGGAAAAACATTTTTCAAACTCAGCAACAAAACTAAAAATCCCATCCTAAATGAAAAACTAGTTACAAAAATCCACTATTACGTACTACAGAATGTTGTTATGACGTAAAATACAATCCACTAAAACTCTATGTGTATTTTCGAATGTAACACTATGGTCTTTTCGGCTTTTCGTTCTGTCTTTTTCAAGATTACGCAACTTATACTTTAAAATTTTTAACTGACCAGTCACATGGTACGGTAAACCTGTCAAAAACAGTTCAATAATGGTAGTAGCGATTCCGAGATAAAAGTTCACTAAAAACCATTAACACAGAGAAATGCATAGGTATAGTTATACTGGTTTTAAAAATACCTGCAAAACAATAAAAATAAGTAATGTAGAATAACACAGGCTTTGACGTTAAATCATATGGTAACCAAATATCCACTGGAAGGGTTAGTTTATTTTGAAAAAACGGCTTCAAATTCCATGAAAGTTCAAGCACTGCAATTATACCTACATAAATCTTAAAATTTCGTTTACAAACGTAAATGCAATCTTCTTGGATTTCTTCTTCTCGTGTGTTATTGGGTGCAAATCTTTGGTCCCCAAAATAACGAATGCACTTCTTGATTTGCGATATTTTTACCAAAAATGGCACAAACTTCAAACAACACGACACAAAACTATCTAGCGAAATTAATGACCGACTCCACAGATCCAAGTCCTCATTTTCTTGAACGAAGAGCTTGACAGCAAGTAACAATGTAGCCAGCACAGACGAAAAATATAAAGTGAAGGACCATATTTTAAATAATATACTCTGCTTTTCGAGACCGTATAATCCCACAAATTTCAATACGGCTATATTTACGTTAAAACTTCTTGTGATTATGTCACTCATCTTTACTGTTCTGGCGACGAGTTTACACTGCGAATTTTGTTCAAGTTACCTTAAACGAGCGTACTCTTTCTTGGAAACTCATCAATTATTAAAGTCGATTGCATGTCAATTATGAATTAATCCTTTGAAGTTTATTCCGCTGGATGTAAAAGAAAAACATTAAATATGTATTTATGAGTTTATCACTGCACTGTCCAGTTAGAGCAGAAATATTAACCTTTTAATTATCTACTATTTATAATTAAATATAAATATCAATCTACAGGAAAATTTCTTTCAACATGGATTGAATATTATTCAGACAAATTTTTTGTATTTAAAACACTGTTATTTTTTACCTTTAAGCACAATTTCAATTATATGTATATAAAATGCCTGTTAAAACAAATATTATGTTAAAAAGTAAATATTTCAGAAATACTGATTTGAACGTTAAGATATGGTTAATAACGCGTGTTCAATTGAAAAATCACTCAAAGAAGGCGTTGGAATATCATTTGATCGAAACGGTGTATCGGTTTTTATAACATATTAACATACAAAAGACTATGTTTCTGACAAAGATATTTGGAAGTAATTAAGAGCTTGAGCAGATAAATCTTGTACGGTCCTGCTAAAATTTTCACGTCAACACAACAGAAACAACGTTACTTCAAATACAATTTTATTCGAAACTGCCGGAACGGTCAGTCATTTTTCTTATTTTTATAGCAATTGTTTTTTTTTTATTGTGCCATGTATTTTTTTCACCCCGTTTTAATAGGAGACGAGACTAATTTAATGTTTCTAAATATACCAACTTGATTGAATCACTTTTCATCTTATTCTTCCATTTTTAGCTGGTTTAGAACCGTGTTGATATCTCCCATTTACACTTTTTTCGGTGTTCTTTTCCATTTAGCTCAGATTTTCTTTATCCGGTACTTTTAATATTTTTTTTACCACTGTTTTCAGCTTGCAAAACTTTAGAAATCGTAGCATATCTATTTTTGACTTTTATTTGTTTAGATATAGTAAAACTAATTGTGAGCAGCTTTTTTTTTACTGTGTATCGTTTCTAACAAAAAAAGATGAAACCGTGGAACCATGTTCCGAAATTTCCTTAAATAATTGAGATATTGATTTTTAAAAATACAAACTGTTTTTAAGAAAACTGTCCTTGCATTATATAAAAAAAGTAATGGTAAGCATATATTTAAAATTTCACAACCATAAGTATATTCATAACCGTGATATTACATTCTGAAAATGTAACGAAAATTCTACTCAGAAAACGTAACGACTGGCCTTAATAAAAGAAAATAGGCAGGAATTCTTGATTACACCATTGAGATAGATTCACATATAGGAAACAAAAAAATGTCTATTAAATAAACAATGTTCTAAAAGTACATCACCTGATGTTTGTTTATCTGATTGTCGGTCAGTACTTTCACAAAACTATCTTGTAATCACTGTGTGTTATACATTAATTCTATAATCTGATAAGTTATAGTACCCTAATTCATTTTTAGAGTATTTTTAATTCAAATATAACCAAAATTAGATTTTATCTTTTTCTTTCGGAAAATTTAGCATTAGAGAAATCACAGGCATGATGACTTTAAGATTACTGATAAGATATATCTACTCCGCACTAACAATGTTGCTGTTGATCATTAAACCTATCTGCCACTTGAAAAAAATGTACTTTAATCAACACTGTGCTGTTCCTGTTAATGAAACAAAATTACCTTTCAAAGATATTTTTGTTAAAGCTGAGTAGGTACTACTACAGTACTACGTTGAGAATTTTTTATCGCGATAAAATCCTTGATAAAAGGTCATCCATAAATTTCTAGAAAAACATAAAATTCTTGTGATTTCTTCAAAATACTTGACAGCTCTTAAGTGAAGAACAATGCTTATCATTCGCTATAAAAGGCCTCGTTTCAACAATTGTCGTTACTTTAGTCGTCTCTCAAACAAAAACATGTCTATCTTTCCAATCAGCATTTTTCTCTTGTGTCTGGCCGTAGACAGCATTTCCGGCCATGGAAGGCTAATGGACCCTCCAAATCGTAGCTCTTTGTGGCGGTTCAATCCCGACGCACCCATAAACTACGATGACGATCAAAACTACTGCGGAGGAATGACTGTACGTACCATTTTTTAAAACACTTGCTGTTGGTTCAACAATTTTTCCGTTCCATAGACCCAATGGGATGACTTTGGCGGCAAATGTGGAGTTTGTGGTGACCAGTACGACGATCCTCATCCCCAAGACAACGAAAATACTGGTAAATACGGAAAAGGTATCATCGCCAAAGAATACACTTCTGGTAGCGTAATTGATGTAGATATAGTATTCACAACCAATCACATGGGATTCTTCAACTTCAGGCATGTAGTTATTTCTTTTAAGTTTGTTTTGAGAATAATTTTGCGGTTTCAGTTTGTGTGTATTGGCAGACCCCAATGCTCCAGAGTCAGGCGAAGATTGTTTCGTCCCTGTAACTTTTGGAGATGGATCGGCGAATTACATTCTGCCCAATAAGGAAGAGACAGATGATGATGAAGTTAAAACTACAGTCAAATTGCCTGATGGTCTGACATGCGAGAGATGTGTACTGAGATGGACTTATACAGCAGGTACGAAAATTATTTTAGATATTTTTATTCTTAAAGTTGTATTGGAGAACATATTTATTATGGGTAATTTTACGTGGATTTTTCTTGTTTCAGGTAACAACTGGGGCCAGTGTGATGATGGGACCTATGACGAAGGATGTGGTCCACAAGAAACCTTCCGTTCTTGTTCTGATATAACCATTAATTAATGTACACATATATAGATGTAAATAAACTGTTGTTAATAGCACATAAGGCGAGTTTGTAAATAAAAATCTGTTTATAGAAAGTAGTGATTCGAAAGTGGCATGAGTACTTTCACTAAAAATACGTAAAATTAAGTAAAGTAAAATATACCAGTCAAATGACTGCCTTTAATGGAAACTGACCAATCGCAATCAGCCTACAAATTCTTAATGCAACAATAACGTACGAGTGACAAGTGGATCCGTGCTAAGTGACAATACGTCTATGAGTATTTGCAATACTTCAGAAAAACAAATAAAAGATAAAACAATCTAGTTATTTTATCAAATTTAATTAACATTTACTGAGTAGAATTTGGTTAAAGTATAACTGTCTATACGATATTTCTAAAATACATGTAAAATTTGACAACAATTGGTCCAGTAATTTTGACGATTATCTGTCTAATAAATATCGGCACAGATGTCACGCGAGTATGAGATCACGGACATACAGACGTAAACGAAGACCTATTTTTGTATATTCTAGGGGTCACAAAACGTTGAGAAAACATGAAAGCGGCCATTTACCGAATAGACTCTATTACAAAAATCCGGTAGCTTACGCTGGAGAAATGGTATTTAAAAATTATTTTTATTATTTATTACAGAACTTCCCCCGGCCCTAAACTGCAGTCGAACAAATATAGCTTTTTACTTTTTTCATGATGACCCCCATGAGCTAAAATTTAAATATGTGTGGTTTATTAAAGCACAGGTAAAGAAGCATCGTATTCATGTATTTCTAGTGAGTTTTTCCAAATAAAATTGTTTTGATAAAGTCAGTAAAATTGTAGTGACGACACAAATATCAATTTGAGTAGACAGTGTTAATACTTCTAATAAGTGGGTCTTAAATCGATAGATTTTAATAAATCATTTACCACCCTTTCGATAACTGTTTGCAAGATTTCAGAGCAATCGTTTTTTGCAATCAAAAAGTTAAACTGCAAATGTTACAAAATTTTGATTTTTTTACAAAAATCTGAACACGGATTCATAAACCACAAATGAAGGAGTAGGTTATCTTATAAAATTTAAGTAGCATTTACTACTCTAGAAGTGGCAAATGACATCACATCATTGTTGGTGGGGACGGTTAAATAAATTTTGGTTAGCGTTTCACCATCTACACAATGTTCCTAACATACAAAATTTTACAACAATGGGTCCGAGAGACCTATTTTATTGTACTATTGGGCTCATAATCATGAAACGTCGAGAAAATATGAAAGTAGCCAGTCAATCGATACACTCGATTACAATACTTCCTTAGCTTAAGCTCAGGAAGTAAAAAAAATAATTAACATGAGAGTGGGAAAATATTGATTTTCTCCTAGACCAAGTAACAGCTAACAAAATTGTTATATTATCTGTCCATTAAAAATCCAGGACGGCAGACAGACGGAGAGGCAGACAGACGGAGAGGCAGACAGACGGAGAGGCAGACAGACGGACGGGCAGACAGACGGACGGGCAGACAGACGGAAACGAGAGACCTATTTCTTCGTACTCTAGGAATAATAAAAGATTGAGAAAACGTAAAAGTAGTCGGCCGACGGACTCGATTACAATACTTCCTTCGCTTACGTTTGGGAAGTAAAAAAGTGACTGAAGACTAAATCTTTCCGTAAGATAGTTCTTATGGTTCGATCTCTTTTTACTCTAGAATCTATCATAATTATTATTAATATTAATCTGTTATCATAAGCATGGTAAATTTTTGTTCAAAATGTATTTGCTTATCCCCCCTAAAAAAATGATAACGTCACCTCAAAATATTGCTAAATAAATCCTAAGTGTGCAAAATATGATGAGCCTATATTTGTGATTTATCACTGCATTGATATTTTTTAGATTTGCTTATACAGGGCGTCTTAAAAAAATTAATGACTGAGTCAATTTATTTTATTTATTAAATCAAGAATTGCAAAACTAAATGCGGTCAAATCTTGCAGACGTTTTGAAGTTATTGGAAGCATGGTAACTTTTTAATCAAAATGTATTTGTTTATTAACCCCAAAAAATTGATGACGTTTTCTGAAAATTTTGACGTATAAATCCTACCTAATATATGCAAAAAATATCAGTTTATACTTGCAATGTATCATATTTCATTTTCATATTTTTTTAGACTTGCTTATACAGGGATGTACAGAGTGAGTCAAAAAAAATCACTGAATTAGTCGATTTATTTTGATGAATAAATTAAGAACCGTAAAACTGAATTCTTTGGAGTCTTATAGACGTTTTAAAGTTATTGTAAGCATTGTAAATTGTTAGTCAAAATATATCTGTTTATTCCTTCCAAAAAATTGATGACGTCATTTCAAAATTTTGCCGAATAAATTCTACCTAAAATGTGCAAAATATGATGAGTTTTTACTTGTGATTTATCATTGCATTCATATTTTTACTTCCCAAGCGTAAGCGAAGGTAGAGCACTGGATGTAATAAACAAAACTAAAGTATGATTGCATAAAAAAGTTTCTCCCGGAAACCTTACAAGAATATTGTTTAGGTACTGCATCAGTTACTTATCGGCGGAGTGATCGTCGCGGTCGCGCCCAGACATAATAATAATTCGTCCAAATATGTAAACAAGTGTGATCTGGATGCTGTAGCGACGTAAAGTGTATTACATCACTGAATGTTGAACAAAAATGTGGTTTAGTCTTACTTATACAACTTCCTTCGCCCTTGAAATACAGTCGAAAAAATACAGAATTTAGCTTTGTCTAGATAATGCCAACGTGGTTGGCGAAACGCGGCGACAAATATTTTGTTTTCGGTGTTATGGGAATAAACGCTCTATAAAATGCAAAATTATAAAATTTAATTATACGAATTTTATTTTTAATTCCTCATCGTTAGCAAAGAAAGTTGTGTAATCGAATCTATCGGGGGCCTACTGACTACTTTTATGTTTTCTCGACATTTCATGACCTATAGATTTTTATTAGGCAGATAATCTCCGATTTGTTAGGAATATCGTGTAGATTTTAAAACGCTAACCAAAATTTGCCCAAAAGTATACTGTTCATTACTCCTGCTTTATCACAAAAATAGGTATGATTCACACTTAGAATGATCACCAAAAATGTAACGTGGACCATTCAGAATATCTTTTTCCAAGTTATTTATTTTTTCCTACCATGATGTTGCTTCCCCTTTGCGAAATTTTATTGCACCTACAATTGCACTAACGAAATTTTTAAATATTATGGTCGCATATCAATATTTCCTCCACACGTTTTTGATAGTTCTCGTAATTTATTGCAATAATTCCGCAATATGTGGTTCCGGCATTCAACTTTTTGCATTCAAATGTTTGGACCGTATGGTTTATTGTCTCGAATTTTTTCATGCACACTTACAATTTTCGAATAAATTCCCCCCACATTTCTACTGATTTTTGGAATCCCTCTAAGATAATACTACTCTCCATTGTTGTAGAGGCCTAGTTCCAATTTTTGAAACATTTATGAGGTGTATTTTTTTTTAAATTTTATTACGTGTGTATGTGAGGCAATATTTATTTTGTACACTCACATATAAAAATTTTCTGGTCCTAGCACCTAAAAACATGCTACCCCTGTTATACGAGGCTTTTATCTCTTTAATCTTTTCTCCTAAATAAAATTTTATGAAGGTCCCAAGCGACCGCTTCCGCACAGTCAAACTACCTACCTAGTGATTGACAGCTTCCAACATTCTCCAGAGTGCTTGCTTAATTGGTTGCATAATTTAGAAAACAGAAATACGGGCTCGGTCCGACAGAGCCTTAAATGATCTTCTTTTTGTGTTATAAAAATATTCAAAAATCTTACTGTACTATTAACTTGAACTGAGATTTATAATTCATCGAATTTGCTGTTGTTCAATGCACCTGTAGCTGAGATTTATTATGTTTTATTTCTAAATAATACACTACAGCCCTGACATACGGCACACAAAATTGGTAATAGGAGACAAACTAAACTGATGCATGTTTGAAGTCCAAATATATAAAGTCAAAGTTTTAAATAAAATTTCGTTGTAAATTTGAAAAATAATTAAAAAAAATGTTACTTTTATTTGTGCATTACTTTGTATTTAACACTACAAATTTCCATAGTTTTACGGTGTATATCTTTCAAAATCTAATATTTCTTGCTATAAATGACAAATTACCACATTTTGAATTTCAGTTATTAGAATTAACTATACTTACATATCTAGAAAGTTACATTTATTCTCAAAGAGAAAATTTTGGCGACTATGTACTTTTTCAATCTTCGTCAGTTTTATCACAAGAGAAAAACTAGAAAAATTTGTCTAGCAATAAAAAGAAACATAGTGCTATTTATGCAAGTTAAGTTTGTACTTTTGTACTATTGCGTGCTCTTTCTTTTTATACCTTTTTGTTTCTCGATAAATTTAGTTGATAAAATTAATAAATAAATTAACTTTTACTACTTTGAAGTATAATTTTTTTTTAATATTCACTAATTCATTTCGAAAACTGGCTCGAAATTCTATTTCCTTAGAAAAGGCACTAAAATTAGTGATAATTATTTAAAACCGCAATCAAAGAATAACTCGTTTTTAACACCTAGAAAGAATTCTACATCTTACATTAGTGTAATAATGTGAACTGGGATACCGTACTGAAGTAAATGTATCGTAAGTTAATGTAATTATTTTTCCTGTAGTTAAAGTAATGGATACCTTTGAACATTCCATCATGGTTATAAAAATCTTCCTGGTAGCAGCGTCATACTTGTACCAAGGACTCATATAAATAGCGTCTATTAGTCCATTGTTCTACAAAGTTTAATATATGTAAATATCTAAAGTAATAAAATGGAAACTATTGAATTCAACTACATTTATTTTGATAAGTTGACGTTCACAAATTGATTTAATGAAAGGACAACTTATGGAAAATAAACGAAGCACTAGATTTTGTTTTATTTTATAATACTTTAAAAGTTTCATAAAAATTACCTCTTCGTATAGAAGTGTTCCATAATGGCAATAAAAGAATAATTGCAGAGATATAACA